AAGAAAAATAAAAGCAAGTGAGAACTCTTTATTTTTAGTACGTTGTTTCTTGTTTGTGTATGCTTTCCCCTAGGTTGGGGTGTTGATGGATATTGCAAGGCTATCTTTAAGTTTGATATATATTATTTTTTTTACATGAATAGGAAAAAGAAAGAGACACCTCAACAGACGGATCCACCGTCTATTCCCGTCGTTGATCTTTTCCCGTCCGGGGATTTTCCAGAGGGTGAAATTCAACAGTACAAGGATGAGTGAGTAAAAGTCTTGATTTTAATGCTGCATTGTAATAGTTTTCTTGTCTAATATTATGGTTCAAAACATATGTTGTTTTGGATTGAATTGAGAAATCAAGAATAATATATTAAACACGGTATATGTAACAACACAAGCCCACCGCTAGCAGATATTGTCTTCTTTGGGCTTTCCCTCAAGGTTAATAAAACGCTTCTGCTAGAGAGATGTTTCCACGCCCTTATAAAGAATATTTCTTTCTCCTCCCCAACCGATGTGGGATCTCACAATCCACCCCTCTTCGGGGCCCAGCGTTCTCGCTGGCACTCGTTCCCTTCTCCAATCAATGTGAGACCATTAATCCACCCCCTATGGGGCCAGCATCCTTGTTGGTACACCACCTCATGTCCACCCCCTTCGGGGCTTAGCCTCCTCGCTGGCACATCGTCCGGTGTCTGACTTTGATACCATTTGTAACGCCTCAAGCCCACCGCTAGCAGATATTGTTTTCTTTGGACTTTTCCTTTCGAGTTTTCCCTCAAGGTTTTTAGAACACGTCTGCTAGGGAGAGGTTTACAGTATACACTTGTAACTTGTAAGTTGTCTTTCAAAGTAAGTGGAAAAACACAGTAAGGTACTGGAAAGGAGCTTTACATATGTACTTGTTGTTGTGTAATTTTTGCATTACGAGTCAAGTTTTAATATTGTGATTTGAGAACATAGTATCGTCCACATGGTTGGTCTTTTAAACTCACTTAATTAACCTGAGTACTATCACCCAATTTTATTTAGATAACGAAATCGAATGATGATTGAAAAAATAAGTAAAGCAATGATTAAAAATTAAGATAGAAACAGTCTCGAGAGAATATCTTACGGAGTTGATCTCGCCTATTAGGCCGATAAACTACTTAAATATCCAATATTGATCATGCAAATGTTCCATAAGTCTAGAAGTCTATATCATACATGGCTCTTTGTTCTCTGTTTAGTAACCTATGGAGGACTACATCTGAAGAGATGAGGGAGTTGGAGCGCCTTGAAAAGCCAATCTATAATTCTGTTCGCCGAGCAGCTGAAGTTCATCGTCAGGTAATGTAACTTGATTATATTCATGGTTATGTTGCCGTATCGTGTGGTTTAATGAGACTGCTGTTAGTATGAATTACCTAACGTTTTTTTTCTGCTCATTGCTATTAGGTAAGAAGATACATAAAAAGCATACTAAAGCCAGGGATGTTGATGACTGACCTGTGTGAGACATTAGAGAACACAGTTAGGAAGCTCATATCTGAGAATGGTTTGCAAGCAGGCATAGCATTTCCTACAGGATGCTCTTTGAACTGGTAAAATATTAAAGAAGTGGCTTCAAATATGTGTGTGTGTATAGTTCTTCAGTATTTGTTGATAGATTAGGCTTCTATTCTTTCAGGGTTGCTGCTCATTGGACTCCTAATACTGGAGATAAGACTGTTCTTAACTACGACGATGTAATGAAATTGGATTTTGGAACGCATATTGATGGTATATATATACTTTTTGTTTCAGTTTTTTTGTATTATATGGATCGTAAAAGCCTAAGCCCACCGCTAGCAGATATTGTCCGTTTGGCCCGTTGAGGGGAATCTTGAAAGGGAAAAACCAAACCCACCGCTGGCAGATATTGTCCACTTTGGCTCGTCGAGGGGAAGCTCGAAAGGGAAAGTCCAAAGAGGACAATATTTGCTAGTGGTAGGCTTAGGTTGTTACAAAAGACGCGTTTTAAAATCTTGAGGGGAAGTCCAGAAGAGAAAGCCCAAAAAGGACAATATCTGCTAGCGGTGGGCTTGGCTTGGGCTGTTACACTATCATATAATTGAAACTGGTTTATTGGTGAGTGCAGGATGCATAGTTGATTGTGCATTTACTGTTGCATTCAATCCTATGTTTGATCCTCTGCTTGAAGCCTCGCGTGAGGCAACTAACACTGGCATCAAGGTATTGTTAATTATCCTGTCTGCTGGCGGTCACTATAACATTTTGATTACTCTGCCTTGATGAAGTATATTATACTGTTTCATCTTATGAAATTACAAGTATCTGCGGTGGTTGAACAAATTGTGAGAAAATGCTATGAGTTGTAGTGTGAGATCCCACATCGGTTGGAGAGGAGAACGAAGCAATCTTTATAAGGGTGTGGAAACCTCTTCCTAGTAGATGCGTTTTTAAAACTTTGAGGGGAAGCCCAAAGAGGACAATATCTACTAGCAGTGGGCTTGGACTGTTATAAATGGTATCAAAGCCAGACATTGGGCGATGTACTGGCGAGGAGGTTAAGCCTCAATGAGGGGTGGAGACGAAGTGATGTGCCAGCAAGGACGCTAGGCCCCAAAGTGGGTGGATTGGAGGGTTCCACATCGATTGGAGAAGAGAACAAGTGCCAGCGAGGACCCTGGGCCCCGAAGGAGGTGAATTGTGAGATTCCACATCGGTTGGGAGGAGAATGAAACAATCTTTATAAGGGTGTGGAAACCTCTCCTTTGCAGACGCGTTTTAAAAATTTTGAGGAAAAGCCCGAAAGGGAAAACTCAAAGAGTACAATATCTGTTAGCTGTGGGTTTGAGTTTGGACGGTCACACATGTATATATCAAGTAAATAACAAAGAATATCAATCCATTTGTGAAAAGGTTCGATAGAATATGTTTATTCCATGTAATCAATAATTTGTTTGTTCTCTTAAATTTTGCACTACAAATCACTAGAATTTTATTTATATATATTCCGAATGAATTTGATTGTTTCTTGAACCTCTACAATTAACTATCTTTTATTTCTTTAGGAGTCTGGAATCGATGTACGACTTTGTGACGTTGGTGCTGCAATCCAGGAGGTCATGGAGTCGTATGAGGTTGAAATTAACGGAAAGGTGTTTCAAGGTACGAGTATTTCATTTGTCATCAAAGTAGAAGTCATTCGTTATCTTTTGAAAACTAGGCTATACTCAGAGTTCTCATGTGAGATCTCACATCGGTTGGAGAGGGGAATGAAACATTTCATATAAAGGTATGGAAACCTCTCCCTACCCGATGCGTTTTAAAACCTTGAAGGGAAGCCTAGAAGGGAAAGCCCAAAGAGGACAATATCAGCTAGCGGTGGGCTTGAGTTGTTACAAATGGTATTAGAGCTTGACACTGGATTTTGTGCTAGCAAGGACGCTAGGCCTCCAAGAGGGGTGGACTATGAGATCTCACGTCGGTTGGAGAGTGGAACAAAGCATTCCTTATAAGGGTGTGGAAACCTCTCTCTACCATATGCGTTTTAAAACCTTGAGGGAAATCCAGAAGAGAAAGCCCAAAGAGGACAATATCTATTAGCGGTAGGCTTGAGCTATTACATCTTAACTCACCTATTCTTTATTATATTGACGCAAACAATGTTGTTACCCTCCCTGAAGATCCTATTTCATGAAAATTAGATTTTAATGAACGATATTTTTCTGTTTTCAGTTAAAAGCATTCGAAATTTGAATGGACATAGCATTGGTCGTTACCAGATCCATGCTGGTAAATCTGTTCCCATTGTGAAAGGAGGGGAGCAAACCAAAATGGAAGAGGGTGAATTCTTCGCTATCGAAACGTTTGGATCGACGGGTAAGAAAGTACGCAGCTCGGAAGTTATTGCTATTTATTACGGGTTGCCCCTGTTGATAGGGCAGTTCATCTGTGTTTTATCCAGGGAAAGGCTATGTTCGAGAAGATCTTGAATGTAGCCATTACATGAAGAACTTTGACGTTGGCCATATACCTCTGAGGTTGCCAAGAGCTAAGCAATTATTGGCCACCATTAATAAGAACTTCTCAACATTGGCATTCTGCAAACGATATCTCGATCGCCTGGGCGAGACGAAATATCTAATGGGATTGAAGAATTTATGTGATTCCGGGATCGTTCAGGTGCTCCTCTTATACCTATTGTCTCGATATCTTCGATATATTATTAAGAGATGAATTCATATGACTTAGCTCGGAGTTTCTCTGGTTTCCCTTCTGTTAGTGCACCATGTTATATTTAGCACGTTAGTTCGTTGTGACTTCGATATCGATTTTGATTGCTGCTGGTGTGTTTGGGAGTGCTTTTAGCAAGAACCGTGTTTATATATATGTACATCCGTAGCAACGTGTCAGTCGATAATTCGGTTCTTTTCTCAGGCCTATCCTCCGTTGTGCGACTCGAAGGGCAGCTATGTTTCTCAGTTTGAGCATACCATTTTACTAAGGCCAACCTGCAAAGAAGTGATTTCCAGAGGTGATGACTATTGATATACTACTGTGGTGTGGCAGTTCCAAAGCCTTTCTCATTGAGACATGGTTACTTATGAGCATTGGTTTAAGTTACATCTTTTTGTATGATATTTGGTTAGTTCAAGAAGATCAAATACAACAAATTGTTATATTTTTATATAGTTCTTATGTTCTTTTGATACTTTAAATTACTCGAGCAACTCTAAAATCAGTAAAAAGATAAAAAATTTGAGTTTTTGTTCTTGATCAGTCTTAACCATTAAATTAAGTTCAAGTTAACGTCGATGATTCGTTTGAGATTGTTATAGCTTTTAACGTGTCAAGACGATGCATATACGGAACCAATGGATAAAATGGCTTCAAAAATGAAAGAAAATTTTGTGGTAATATCATGTTTGTTCTGAATTAAATGATGGATAAAACACATAAAAATAGAAAAAATTTATTTAGTGATTATATGTCCAAATATTAATAAATTTTCGTAACCAACGCAAAGCTCTGAACTGGTTTGTATTGTAAAGTTTTGATCTTTAGCTGAGATCCCAAAACTCGCTTGTGTACTGTGATCGTATATACTCTTCTCATTGGCGCCTCTTCTTCCAAATCACATATCAAAAGGGTTATTTTCTGACCAATCAGGCCGCCGTCTGAGTTCGATTGCCGATCATGGGGTTGGGATCCCTCGCTTCCCGAGTTGTCAGGCCGTCTTCCAGGCTCCTCAGCTCCCAAAACCCTAGAAATCTCGTTAATGTCCGACCCATTGTCTCCACCACTGAGCTTCACAACGCTGATGCCGCCTCCGCCGCCCAGGCCCAGGTCGATCCTGCCCCGCCTCCTCCTCCTCGGACCCCCGTTGGTGGCGCCCGCGTCCATTTTTCATCTCCGGAGGACGCCATCGAGGTCTTCGTTGATGGGTACCCTGTCAAAATCCCTAAGGGTATGACGGTTCTTCAGGCCTGTGAGATTGCTGGGGTCGACATTCCTAGATTTTGTTATCATAGTCGGCTCTCGATCGCTGGAAACTGCCGTATGTGCCTTGTTGAGGTCGAGAAATCCCCGAAGCCCGTTGCTTCTTGCGCTATGCCTGCTCTTCCCGGTAATTTTTCTTCTCCTAAACCGGTTTGGATAGCTATTTGTGGATGTTTTTGGATCTCTACGATAGGATATGGATTAATTGGCTCTTGATTTTGGTTTTCTTAGATTTGCACTAGGTAAATTGGTAAGGGATTGATTTGCCTGTGGCTATGGTTTTCTTACATGTTTTATTGTATAGATGATTCAGTGCTTCTGTGCAGGATACCCTGTTTCATCCATTGAAGCCAAATTTAGTTTTTAAATCATTATATGGTTTATTGAGTATAATCTTGAGTGATGAATGAGAAAGCAATTTATCTGAATATATCTGCTTCCTAGGAATGAAAATTAAGACTGATACGCCACTGGCGAAAAAGGCTCGAGAAGGCGTGATGGAATTCTTGTTGATGAATCATCCATTGGATTGTCCAATTTGTGATCAGGGTGGAGAATGTGATCTTCAGGATCAGTCTATGGCATTTGGGTCTGATCGTGGTCGGTTTACTGATGTGAAGAGATCAGTGGTCGACAAGAATCTCGGCCCGCTTGTGAAAACTGTAATGACACGATGCATTCAGTGTACCAGGTGAGATTTTGTAGTTTTGTAGTCTTTGGAGGGAAATTGTTTGATTTAAAGGAAACCGTTCTATAGTCCTAACTTACGAAGTTTCTATGGCTTTTAAAATTCGAACACCGACGTTGGAATTATGAACTTGTTAGTGAGATCAAGGACTGGATCAGTAACGCTCGATCTAATATGAACCTCGTACCTTGATTTTGCTAAACGTTTTTGTAGGCATGTATGATACGGACTACTATTTCGGTTAAGATTGTAATGATGCGTTTTTCTAATGGAAGATTTAAAGTAGCTATTGGTTTTCATTGTTTGTTGGAGGCCTTATTCATTAATGTTTATCAAATGCTGCTCTAGTCATTCGGCTTTTTTCTGTAATTGTCTAACCGTTATATCTTTACGAAAATACCTAATCCGAAGGATATCCATTATCCTGCAGGTGTGTAAGATTTGCTACAGAGGTTGCTGGGGTTCAGGATCTTGGCATGTTAGGTCGTGGTAGCGGTGAAGAAATTGGGACTTATGTTGAAAAGCTAATGACTAGTGAGCTATCAGGGAATGTCATTGATATTTGTCCTGTGGGCGCATTGACTTCAAAACCTTTTGCTTTTAAAGCCCGGAATTGGGAATTGAAGGGTACCGAGAGCATCGATGTTACTGATGCAGTTGGATCCAACATTCGTATCGATAGTCGAGGTCCTGAGGTTATGCGTATTGTGCCTCGATTAAATGAGGTTCGTTTTGAGATCTCTCGTGTCTACTTAGCTATTTTAAAGAATTGCTCCTGAAATGATGTGTACATCTGTTATGTTGGATTTCAATATTCGTTAGAAAGTTGAACCACATTCATAGCATGTTTTAAATGATTACTCCCAATAAGCTACCGAGCGTACGAATTTTGACAATTTTTCAACGTACAATCTTCGTCGAAGCTTTGACCTATAAAACTCGGTAGATTCATCATTCGTATTGAAGGAACAAGGGGCAGCTTGACTTGATCACCTTTACCATTTCCAGGATATTAACGAAGAATGGATATCAGACAAGACTCGCTTTTGTTACGATGGTCTCAAGAGACAGAGATTGAATGACCCAATGATCCGTGGTGCTGATGGACGTTTTAAGGCTGTCAGCTGGCGCGATGCCCTTGCTGTGGTTGGTGAAGCTGCCCATCAGGTTAAACCCGAGGAAATCGTCGGAATTGCTGGTAAACTGTCTGATGCAGAGTCCATGATTGCTTTGAAAGATCTCTTAAATAGGTTGGGATCCAATAATGTATGGTGTGAAGGAAACGGACCACAACCGAACGCAGACCTGCGATCCGGGTATATCATGAATAGCGGTATTGCTGGTCTAGAGAAGGCAGATGTCTTTCTTTTGATTGGCACTCAGGTACTTCTATTTCATTCTCTCTTCTTTCAGTGTCCATGGGAATCACATTAATCTTCTTCTGATCTCCTTAGCTTACTCTTAATATATTTCTGATCATTTCAATGAATTTCGTTCGTCGGTTTTCATTCTCACTGACTTATGATGCACTTAGATTTCGTATAAACGCTTGTGGATTATAGTCCGATGAGATCGTGTTGGATTTGTGTTCTTATATGTTCTATTATCATTTTTTGCCCCTTACTACTTCAAACTAAACTCTGCCAGCCAAGGGTTGAAGCTGCTATGGTGAATGCAAGAATCCGAAAGGCAGTAAGAGCAACTCACGCTAAAGTCGGTTATGTTGGCCCGCCGACAGATTTCAACTATGATCATCAGCACCTCGGGACTGGACCTCAGGCGCTTGTTGACATAGTCGAGGGTCGCCATCCCTTCTGCTCGATCCTGAAAAATGCCAAAAATCCAGCTATCATTGTTGGTGCTGGACTTTTCGAAAGAAAGGACAAAGATGCAATCTTTTCTGTAGTTGAAAACATTGCCAAACAAAATAATGTGGTCAAACCTGATTGGAATGGTTACAATGTATTGCTTTTGAATGCTTCCCAAGCTGCAGCTCTCGACCTCGGACTTGTGCCAGAATCAATAAACAGCGTCGAGTCTGCTAAGTTTTTGTATTTGATGGGAGCCGATGATGTAGATTTTAAGAAGGTCCGAAAGGATGCTTTTGTGGTTTACCAAGGACACCACGGCGACAAGGGCGTCTATCGAGCTAACGTAATTCTCCCTGCAGCAGCTTTCAGCGAAAAGGAAGGAACCTACGAAAACACCGAAGGTTGCACCCAACAAACATTGCCTGCAGTGCCAACAGTTGGCGATGCACGAGAAGATTGGAAGATCATTCGTGCTCTCTCCGAGGTTGCTGGTCTGCGATTGCCATACGATTCCCTCGGAGCGATAAGGTCCCGGATAAAGACCGTGGCCCCAAACCTCTTGCAGGTAGACGAAAGAGAGGCAGCTACATTTTCTGCTTCGATTAAGCCCGAAAGCACCGAGAAGATGGAAATGGTTGATTTTGGCAGCACCATAGAAAACTTCTACATGACTGATGCCATTACAAGGGCATCAAAGATCATGGCACAATGCAGTTCATTGCTGGCTAAAAAGTGAGATTTTCTTCATTATTTTTCTTAATTATTTGCTTTATAAATATCATAGTTGTCTGCAAGGGGCTTCTCTTGTTAGACCAGACATCTGGAACGCCTTCAAGTAAGCTTCTAATAAAAGTGTCCACCCTTTATTTGTTTCACTGTAACACGTTTTGCAACGGGAAACCTTTTCTTTGAAACCATGGCGTTTGAAGTTTGGTTCTTCAACATTTCTCTTATTAAAGATACCTTTCTTCATCTCTATATATTTCCATATTCTTAACTCTCGAAAAACAGCCTGATACTTCGATTTAGTCTCTCTTGTTTGGGGAGCCTATTTCGAGTCGGGGATTGTAAGATCAAGCACGGATCAAAAAGCTTGAATTGAAGTTCTATGACTCAGACAGAAGTTAATAAGACTCAGACAGAAGTGAAAGATGAAAGCACTGTATCGGGAAACCAAACCTTTGATAGTTCAGTCTTTCTATTAGGGGTTGTGTAAGAGCTCTACGTCATCTATGGAATAGCGCCCAAACTCAAAGGAACTAGGAGAAGTCATGTTCCTTGCATGATATTTAAATGGTAAGAATACGGGATTTTGTTGCGTTCGGACAGGACACTATATGAGATCCCCATACTTGTTGAAGAGAGGAACAAAACTTTTTATTATAAGGGTGTGAATACTTCTCCCTAGCAGTTGCGTTTTAAAATTGTGAGGCCAACGACGATATGTAATGGGCTAAAACGGACAATATTTGTTAGTGGTGAGCTTAGAAACGGTTACAAATGGCATTGGAACCTAACACATGATAGTCTGGTAGCAAGGATGCTGGATCCCAAAGGAATAGAATTTCTTATAAGGGTTTTGAAAGCTTAGTAGATTAAAGATATCCAAATTTTTACCCATTATATGAATTTAAGTGGTATTAATTTCCACCCATTAAACTAACCTTTTGCATTAATTACACATCAATTATGTAAATCACTCATTTAAAAGATAAGAATAAAATCTCAATTTTTTTAGGGAAAAAAATGGCTCATAAATAAATTAATTACTTCAATTAATTTTAAAAAACGCTCATTGAAGCGATAAGAGATAATTAATAATAATTATTATTAATGAAAAAGTGGGACAAAAATAAAAGGGAAATGACCCCTCTATTAATTTAACGTCACGTATATGTCTCATGGTATCTCAAATAACATAACGTTACACTATACACATCAAACAGTCACAACTACGACACGTGTAGAAGGCATAGAACACATGTTCATACTTTGTACAATTCATCCAACCAACCAATCCAAATAGTAAAACCACTTAGTTGATTGGTCGGAGCAGTCACTAAATTTTCTAAGCCAATATTCGTTTGATCATACTCATTAAGATTTAGTTCCAAGACGGACACCCCACCTCATAGAGGTTAAATCTACTAACATATTATTGTTAAACAAATATTTCACACCGTTTATCACTATGAACTTAATTCAAATAATTTAATACTATACTTCTAAAACTAAAAAATTACATATTTAAATTCGGTTAGTCAAACTAAAAACAAATCATTTTATTCTCGCTCCTATCTTCAAATTTCTACCACACATTTGTTTAAACTATAACTGGTTCTCGATTTGTATGCTACCTTGAAATAGGATTTTTAAATTCTCTACCGTACATTCAATTATACTCTCTCTCTCCTCCATTTTTACCCTCTCTATATAACCCTGACACCACCTTCCGTTCAAAAACACGTTGGGTGTGACACCCGATTGAAATATATCGATACAACAACAAAAAGAAAAGATATTGTTTAAGGTTTCTTCGTTTTTGTTAGTCTTTTATTTGTTTCGGTGTATTTCGATCGAGTCTCTCAACGTCAACGTCATAACCATCGCAGAGTCATAATCATGGCTCTCTCCCTCCTCTTTGTGGCCCTATTCTCTCTCTTATTCTCCCCATCAAACTCCCTCTCTCTCTCCTTCCCTCTCACCTCCCGTTCTCTCTCCGAAGAACCCTCAATTTCTCCATTATACCCTTCCCTCTTCTCCAAAGCCGCATCCAAACCCCCCGCCAAGCTCCCTTTCAAATACTCCAATGCCCTGGTCGTCTCCCTTCCGATGGGAACGCCGCCGCAGCTGATGGACATGGTCCTAGACACCGGCAGCCAACTCTCTTGGATTCAATGCCACGGCACAGTTAACGGAAAATCAGTTAAGCCCAGATTCAAGTGGTTTAACCCTTCTCTCTCCTCCACTTTCTCTTTCCTCCCCTGTAACAGCTCTCTCTGCAAACCCCGAATTCCCGATTTTACCCTTCCCACTTCCTGTGACCCACGTCGCCACTGCCACTACTCCTACTTCTACGCCGATGGGACCTTGGCCGAGGGTAATCTCGTCACTGAAAAATTCTCCTTCACCGCCTCTCCCATCGCTATCGGCTGCGTTAAGCCCTCCGCCGAAAACAGGGGTATTTTGGGAATGAACACCGGACACCTCTCCTTCATCTCTCAGGCCAAAATATCCAAGTTTTCCTATTGTGTCCCGGGTCGAAGCAGGTCGGATCTAACCGGGTTGTTCTACCTTGGAGACAACCCGAATTCGGGTAAATTCAAATATGTCAACATGTTGACTTTTCCCGAAAGTCAAAACTCCCCGAATCTTGACAAACTGGCCTACACCCTCCCAATGAAGGGCATAAGAATCGGCGCAGTCCAACTCAAAATCTCTCCGGCCGTTTTTAAACCGGACCCAACTGGGTCTGGTCAGACAATGATTGACTCCGGCTCGGAGTTGACTTACTTGGTAGATGAAGCTTACAACAATGTTAGAGCAGAGATCGTGAGATTAGTGGGGCCCATGATGAAGAAAGGATATGAATACGCCTCCGTCGCCGATATGTGTTTCGACGGTGCAATGGCGGCGGCGGCAGGGCGGAGGATTGGTGAGATGTGGTTTCAGTTTGAGAATGGAGTGGAGATATTGGTCGGGAAAGGGGAAGGGTTATTGACGGTAGTGGAAAAAGGGGTGAAGTGTGTGGGGATCGGACGGTCAGGTAGGCTCGGGACTGAGAGTAATATGATCGGAAATGTTCATCAGCAGAATATGTGGGTGGAGTACGATTTGGCCAATAAGAGAGTTGGGTTTGGTGGAGCTGTGTGTAGTGGATTGAAGGCATGATGATGGACGGTGAAGATTCATACAATCATATATTTCATTGCGATGGTGTGTATATAATTATGTTAAGTATATGAGTATTAATAAGAATAATTAATTTCTCTCCTAATTCGTTACTAAGTGTATGGTTATTTATAACGTGCAGAAAAAATTCATTTAAAACACTTCATAAATGATATCATGAACTTAAACGTTTGTAAAATCTATTTCAATGAACTTAAAACACGTGCACATGGTGGACCCTAACGTAGATTCACTTATGCGTATATAGACCATTAGGCGGGCTCGTATATGTACCCCCTAGACCTATCTTTCTTCAACGAGCATACAATCACGCTTAAGGAAAATTTGTAGAAGGAAAGGAGCGTGCATAATAACATGACATACATATTATCGTAATATATGCATCCATACTTATCAAAATGGAAAAGTATCTTGATGCACGTGACACACAAAATACGTGAGGTTCATGAAACTTTAAATCATGACATAAGTATGATGCGGGTCTTACCTTCGTTCTTTCATCAATATAACTTTCATGAATAGCTGTGACACTTGAGTAAATAGGGGTACATAAATGAACCGAGACTACATCTCTCCAACAAGATGCACTTTCTTTTTCCGCTGCTTACTTATAAGAACTTCATAAGTGTACGGTACTCCAACAAATTCTACTGGATGATACTATAACATACATGGCTTAACAATATTTCTCAATTTTCAAGAAAACATACTAACTATATTGTGCATGATGTCACAATCGCACTCGTGTATGATGTCACCATTGCACTTGATGTCCAAATTTCTCACAACTGACTAGATTATCTTACTTCTACGTTTAACACCTCACTTTGCAAAAGATTTAGAATATGTGAATGAAGAAATATATTTGAAAATGATTTGAAAAATTGAAGAAAACATGTAAAATTAGGAGTTTGGAACAAACATGCAACTAGGGACAACACGACTGGATAACCAAGATTGAGACATCTGCAGAACGTATAGAGGAATCATGCATCATACAACATTAAAGTAATCACAAGATACATAACATAACACGTATGTCTAATGGTATCCCACATAACATAACACCACACACGTCAAATAGTCACAAATACGACACGTGTAAGGAGCATAGAATGTTATTCATACTTCATACCGTTCATCCAACCAATCCAATAATTAAACCACTAACTTGGTTAGCCTAAGCAGTCACTAAAATTTCTAAGTTGATATTAGTTTGATCCTACTCATTGAGGTTTAGTTTCGAAACTGGCTCACAACGTTATCAAAGTTTGATCCTTCTCATCGAGATTAAATCTACTATCATATTATTATTAAACAAGGATTTCACTTTGTTGATAACCGTTTACTTAATTGAATTCATTGAATCTAACACATGTACGGTCAAACTAAAAACAAATAATTTTATTCTCGGTTGGGATCTTCAAACTTCTACCACACATTGTTAAAACTACAACGTTCTTGATTTATACTACCTTGTATTAGGATTTTCAGTTCTCCACCGTACGTTTAATTATGCTCTCTCTCTATATAATCCGAACACCACCTCCTTTCAAAAACACGTTGGATATGATGCACGATCGAAATATATCGAGACAGTAACTCAAGAAACTCTCCTATCAAATTGTTCTTTTTTGTTTCGGTGTATTTCGATCGTGCGTCGTATCCAACGTCGAAACTCTTACGAACCCATAATCATGCCTCTCTTTCTCCACTTTCTCTCCCTATTCTCTCTCTTCTTCTCCCCATCAAACTCCCTCTCTCTCACCTCCCATTCTCTCTCCCAAAAGCCCTCCCTTTCCTCATCCTCTGCCTCCGCCAAGCTCCCCTTCAAATACTCCAATGCCCTTGTCGTCTCTCTTCCGATCGGAACGCCGCCGCAGCCGATGGACATGGTCCTAGACACCGGCAGCCAACTGTCCTGGACTCAATGTCGCGGCGAGGTAAATGGAAAATTAGTGAAGCCAGGAATTACCATGTTTGACCCTTCTCGCTCCTCCTCTTTCTCTCTCCTTCCTTGTAACACCTCTCTCTGCATACCTCAAATTCCCGATTTTACCCTTCCCACTTCTTGTGACCAACGTCGCCTCTGCCACTACTCCTACTTCTACGCCGATGGGACCTTGGCCGAGGGTAATCTCGTCACTGAAAAATTCACCTTCTCTAATTCCTTAATTACCCCTTCCATCGTTCTCGGCTGCGCTAAGGCTTCCACCGAAAACAGGGGTATTTTGGGAATGAATACTGGACGCCTTTCTTTCATCTCCCAGGCTAAAATATCCAAGTTTTCATATTGCATCCCGGGTCGAAGTGGGTCGGATCCAACCGGGTTGTTCTACCTTGGAGACAACCCGAATTCAGGTAAATTCAAATACGTCAACATGTTGACTTTTCCCCAAAGTCAACGCTCCCCGAATCTTGACAAACTGGCCTACACCCTCCCAATGAAGGGAATAAGAATAGCCAAAAACCAACTCAACATCTCGCCAGCCGTTTTTAAACCGGACCCATCTGGGTCCGGTCAGACCATGATCGACTCCGGTTCGGATTTGACGTATTTGGTGGATGAAGCTTACAACAAGGTTAGAGCAGAGATAGTGAAATTAGTGGGGCCCATGATGAAGAAAGGATATGAATACGCCTCCGTCGCCGACATGTGTTTCGACGGCGCAGTGGCGGCTGCGGCCGGGCAGGGGATTGGCGACATGTGGTTCGAGTTTGAGAATGGGGTGGAGATATTGGTCGGGAAAGGGGAAGGGTTATTGACCGAAGTCGAAAAAGGGGTGAGGTGCGTGGGAATCGGACGGTCAGATAGGCTTGGGACTGGGAGTAATATAATCGGGAACGTTCATCAGCAGAATATGTGGGTGGAGTATGATTTGACCAATAAGAGAGTTGGATTCGGTGGAGCTGAGTGTAGTGGATTGAAGGCATGACGATGGACGGAGAGTTTCATATAATCATAACAATAATTTTATGTATGTATTTATATTTTCAAATTTTGTTAAAATAAAACAAAATTTGTTGTAATATGGGACAATAAATACTTATTATTATTCATCTCGTTTTGTGATTTCTTCTCGAAGAATTTGAGTCTGATGACTTACTAGAAAATAAATATTAATTAATTAGTTCCTTTTTCTAAAGTATATGAGTATTAAAACACTTCTCCGGTCTATAATGTGTTAACAAATTCATTTAAAACATTTCATGAACGATATCACGAACTTAAACGTTCGTAAAATCCATTTCAATTAACGAAAATTCTCTGATGTAACCTAAGGGCTTCCATATAAACATAAGTACCGCTATCCTAGATTCGATTCCATGGTTTTCGTAGCGACACCGTCATCCTTACAGGGGTGTCTTACCTTTACTTGAAAAACTAACACGTGGCTTGAGTATTTAAAAATATTCATAATTAACCCTATTATTAAGGTCAGAAAATGTAACTACATTCAATCATGTTCAGACGTATCATTTCATTATCATCATGACGTTGGTCTCACTTTCCAGTTCAAACTGAGTGGATGTATACTACTTCTCTACACACGGTATACACTCGTGCACATGGACCCCCAGGTAGACTCGTATATGTACCCCTGGACTACGTTTTTTACTAGTGCACACTTGCACGACTGAAAAAGTCACAGATGGTGTGCACAATGTTGTACTACATGCATTTGTACTCATTATAAGGGCAATTATCCCAATGCACATGGTACACAAAATGCATGAGGCCTCCACAGCTTTAAACCATGAAATATACGTATGATGTGGGTCGTACCTTCATTCTTTCATAAACATAAGTTTCATGAATAACATACATGACTAAACAATATTTCATAAACGTGTAGAGCATATGCTAATATTAGTGTGCATGACATAACATATAATATAAAGACATCATGCATGTCACAAGATACATAACAGAACATATACATCGCATGGTATCACACATAACAAAAAACAACTTTCGTCAACAACATAACATAACATCATACACGACAAACAATCTCAAAGCATGACACCGTTGGGGTCACAGAGCACACATCGTTCATATTTCATACAATTCATCCAATCAATTCAATAGTAAACTCACTTGATCGGTTGACCTAAGCCGTCACTAAATTTCTCGAGGTTTAGTTTCCAAACAGACTCCCAAACTCATATAGGTTAAATCTACAATCACATTATTAGTAAAAAAAGCTTTCACTCACACGGTAATTTAATTCAATTCATTCAATATAGTAATTCTAAATTAAAAAAATTACATATTCAAATCCTATTTAAAGGCAAACTAAAAATAAATCATTTTATTCTCAGCTCCCTCGTCCTAAAATTTCTACCAACTAAACTAAACTAAACTTGGTCGCTTATTTGTATACTATCTTAAAATAGGGTTTTTGAATTCTATACCGTACATTTATTTCATGCTCTCTCTTTTATTTTTACTCTCTATATAATTACAATAGCAGTTCATTCCAAAAACACTTTGGATATAATCCACTGTCAAAATTCCAAAAACACATTGGATATAATCCATTGTCAAAATATATCGAGACAACAACAGAGTGAATAGTTTAAGTTCTAAGCTGTGCTGTTATTTTATTTGTTTCGGTGTATTTCGATTGTGCCGTATCCAAGTCAAAACCATCGGAAACCCATAATCATGCCTCTCTCTCTCCTCTTTGTGGCCCTATTCTCTCTCTTATTCTCCCAATCAAACTCCCTCTCTCTCTCCTTCCCTCTCACCTCCCTTTCTCTCTCCCAAGAACCCTCCTTTTCCCTCTCCTCCGAAACCTCACTCCAGGACTCGGCGAAGCTACCCTTCAAATACTCGAACGCCCTGGTGGTGTCTTTCCCCATTGGGTCGCCGCCGCAGCCGATGGACATGGTGCTAGACACCGGCAGCCAACTCTCTTGGGTTCAATGCCACGGCAAAGCAAGGACAGAATCAGTAATTAATCGGTTTGACCCTTATCTCTCCTCCACTTTCTCTAACCTCCCCTGCAACAACTCTCTCTGCAAACCCCGAATTCCCGATTTTACCCTTCCTACTTCTTGTGACCGACATCGCCGCTGCCACTACTCCTACTTCTACGCCGATGGGACCTTGGCTGAGGGTAATCTAGTCACTGAAAAAATCACATTCTCTAATTCCTTAACTACCCTCTCCCTCATTCTCGGCTGCGCTACGGCCTCCACAGAAAACAGGGGTATGTTGGGAATGAATAAGGGACGCCTCTCCTTCATCTCCCAGGCTAGAATATCCAAGTTTTCCTATTGTGTACCGGATCGAATCGGGTCGGATCCAACCGGGTTGTTCTACCTCGGAGACAACCCGAATTCGGGTAAATTCAAATACGTCAAAATGTTGACTTTCCCCAAAAGTCGACGCTCCCCGAATCTTGACAAGTTGGCCTACACCATCCCAATGAAGGGGATTAGAATTGGCAAAAACCACCTCAACATCTCGCAGGCCGTTTTCAAACCGGACCCATTTGGCGCCGGTCAGACCATGATCGACTCCGGCTCCGATTTGACGTATTTGGTAGATGAAGCTTACAGCAAGGTTAGAGCAGAGATAGTGAGATTAGTGGGGCCCATGATGAAGAAAGCGTATGAATACGCCGCCGTCGACATGTGTTTCGACGGCGCAGAGGCAGCGGTGGTAGGTCGGAGAATTGGCGACATGTGGTTCAAGTTTGAGAATGGGGTGGAGATATTGGTCGGGAAAGGAGAAGGGTTATTGACGGAAGTGGAAAAAGGGGTGATGTGCGTGGGGATCGGACGGTCAGATAGACTTGTGACTGAGAGTAATATAATCGGGATCATTCATCAAAAGAATATGTGGGTGGAGTACGATCTGGCCAATAAGAGAGTTGGATTCGGTGAAGCTGAGTGTAGTAGATTGAAGGCCTGGTGATGGACGATGGAAATCATATAATAATTCGTATCTATTTATATTTGAAAATAGAAAAAAAAACAAAAAATATTTGAAAATAGAAAAAAAAAAAAAAAAAAAAACACTTTAACCTCTTCAAAAC